ACTGCTCTTTCTTCCTCCTCAATAAGCATGTTTGTTTCTGAGAATGTTTAATAGAGTCTGAGCATGACTTCGGATCCACTGGGGAAAGATGAACATCTACTCCACCAAAACACAGTTGTTGGAAGAAGCAGCAAACAATAACCTGCACATACTACATCAAGTGGTCAAATAACTTGAAGGGTTTAAGGAATAAGTGATTCCTTTGAAATGAATAGACTTCCAAAGTTCCTCTTCCAAAGAGTCCAATCTGTATGTTAATGACTTCTACAAGGGGGCTGCTAGGAGCTGTACCCACCCACTGGTGGATTGGGTAAACAAAAGGGAATTAGGGCAGGCACTGGTCAGCTGTCAGAGTTTAAGGAGAAACTGAGGACTTCCATCAAGTACCCCAAAATTGGCTCCACTTCTTCTCATGAGCCATTCAATTGCATCTACTTTACCAGCCCTCCAGGACACTGCCCAAAAAATAGTTATCATCACAGAGGGTGGGAAACAAGGCAGGGAAATGTAGGGGAACAAGAACACAGGCACTTTCCTGCCCTAGGAAGGAGCATGGGAAAGCTTGGTTGGAGGGCCCAATGCCAGAAGCTTCCCCTTTGGGCACCAAGCAGTTACCAGCATGAAAACAAGATGAGGAAGATAGCCAACAACCTGCAGGGAAAATAGTCCAGCTGGTGTGGTGCTGGGGACCTGGAAACCCCCAAGACCACAGAACCTTCTAAGTCCATCATTAGTTGAGTAAGGTCAGAAATACGGCTCAAATTTGAGAAAATATTCTAAAACAACCCCTGCCTCTACAGAGTGACTCTACATTTGCTAGCATCAGAAAACATTATTAAGAGGATCACACATCACTGATATTCTTCTGGTTTTCTTTCACTCTCTTCAGCTCTGGGGGGTCAGAAATAGGAGTTGCCTGTTTAATCTCTTCTTTGTACTTGACCTATGAAGGATAAAAAGAATTTTAATAGATAGCAGAGCAGACTCTGAGCTAAAAAAAAAATTCTACAAAGGGTGAGTCTCAAAGTTCCCCCACCTTTTGCACACATTTTATCACAATGGCTCTACATCAATCATCCTGTTGGTATCATCACCTAGATTTTGATTATTCTGATTATTTTTTGTTAAAAAATGCTGACTGTTGATTGTGCTGTTCATAAGAGTCTTCCATAAACACTGTGGTGTTCAATGTTCAGACTAATTACAAATCACACAAATAAAAACAGAAATCTAAGTGAACATGATGAATATAAGTAGTAGAACCAGTTCATGAGGGTAAAACTAGAATGAAATCCACTTGGCAGCCCAGGAAGGTCTTTTTCTGCCCCATGACCCTGGAGCTTCAACTTCCAAAGATTTCTGACTTCTACCTTCCAGGGACATTAGTGGAATAAGAAATGTGGAACTGGATTTTCTCCTTCGCCTGGGAGAATTTGCTCTTAAGTTTTACTATTTTCTTTTTTGGTACCAGGAATCGAACTCTGGACCTCATGCTTGCTGGGCAGGTACTGCACCACTAAGCTACACCCCCAGCCCTGCTCTTAAGTTTTAAAGTCTTTCAAAATTAACTACTGTGAAAGAAAACAGAATTTTGTTGGAAAAAGCTCTATTAAAGCGTCACAAAAAGAGAAAAAATAAATATCTGGGAACAGCATGAAAGAATTTCAGGATTCCAGGAGGCCTGATTCAAATCACAGCTCTACCTTTACTAGTTGTGGATACCTGGCATGTGCTCTGACTCAATTTCCCACATCAATCCAGTAGAGATGAATAGAGCTGAACTTGGGGGCTCATATGAAACACAAGTGGAAGGCCAAGTCCCTCATAAAGGTGTACATAATTGTTAACTAGCCCTGCTCTTTTAGCAATTGATCATTGAATGATTAATGTTTTCCATTTCATTGGTTCTTTTTCAAAGGACTCTTTCCATTTCAAAGGTTCTTTTTCTACTTTCTATTTTTATTTATTTATTTTTTGTTTGTTTGTTTGTTTTTGCATTTTAGGGAAGAGCCTACAGGGTGTTCAGGGTCTCACTACTAGACTGGACTCATAGTGATCCGCCTGTGTTCAGCTTCCCAAATGCTGGGATCACAGGCACATGCGCCACCATGCCCAGTCTCAGTTGCCATCACAGCACACCTCGGGGGTGAGGCCAGCACAGCAGCCCCCGAGATTGAACCCAGTCCCTGTGTTCGCCTAAGCAGGCACTTTAATCCACTGAGCTATCTGGCCAGCCCTACATTCTTCTAGATGCTGTGTGTCTGCAAGTGCTAATCCAGCCAGGTCTTCTCCTGCCGTATTCCAATAGGCATTTTGCTTCAATGGATAAGAGATTCCTCTATTCAGGTCCTTATCTAAACATACTTCTAGTTTACCAATCAACTATGAGGTTCATGAGGACAGGATGGGTCTTATCTACCTTTTGTCCTAATAATCTAGACAATGCCTGACACATTTGGGTACATATGGAAGAACTTTTGAATTAAAACACATGGATAAGTTAGAGAGACCACTATCATAGATTTCCTGAGCTGGTGTGATCGTCACAGGTCTTGCCCTTCAGTGAGTGAATGCGTAAAGAAGGATCCAGCTGTCAGAAGGTTTGAAGTTTAGCATAAAATTAAAAATTAACACTTAAAATACAAAATTTCAGATAAAATATAAAAGACAACAGAAACTACTTGCCGCACTCAGCTGCTCCTGGTTTCTCCTCACTCTCTCTATCTCTGGGGTCATGCTTACCGGTGTGGACTTATAGTTTTGTTCTTTATACTGGAGCTGGGAGATAAGATGGGAGTCAGGTTGGAGCATTGAGAAATAAACATTACCAATACATGAGAACAGATGGAAAGAAATGTCACATGGCCACAGAGCATTCAACAGTGAAATCTCCCTTAGGATTTAACAGTGGAATATGGATGGCTAATAGATTCCATCTTCTCAGTGACACCAATGGCTTGGTTGGTCCTTATCAAATGTTTAAATTATACCTTCCATGGTTATTTTCAAATTGTATTATTTACTGGTGGCCTCACTGAGTTTGAGCTTATCAGTCATAAGGACTTATCCTCTCTGTGAGAATTAAAGCACTTCTCAAGTCATCATTGTGTACATAAAATAATTCTTCATTCTTATCCCTGGGGAGAAGGGGTAGACAAATCCTCTGCCTCCAGTTCGGCAGCACTTTACCACTGTTAAACCATGAATGTCACTATTTCCCTCTAAGTTCCAGCTCTGGAGTGCCTGCCGTCTGACCCAACATTAGGGACATTCCCCAGCTTATGTACAGGGTGTCATTTTTAGCCAGAGAATCATGCTTCAAGGCCTGTAGTTTGCTTTCCAGCAAGAGAGCTAGTGATTCCACCACATCCGGGATATAAATGAGCATCAGACCTGGAGAAAGAGAACGGCAAGTGGCCAAGTCTGTCAAATGAAGTCTGCCCAGAAAAAGTAGAGCAAGAGTTTAAAACCCCACTGTAAGGAACTCCACAGGAGCAACAGAATGATTTTCTTTAGACTTTAAACTTGGTATTAAGGACTTGCAAATAACACAGACCAGAAGTGCATGCTCACAGGAGTGAGGGTGCGTGTGAAGAGAGGGAAGTGGACAGGGGCTGGGCTTCTTTCTGTGTAAGCTCCCGCCTCCTGAGAGCCTTTCTCTGTGCAATGGTATGTGAAATTTGAGAGATCAGGCAGATTGTCTGGAGGTTTATTTATTTCCAGTGACACTTGGAATTAAACCCAGACAAATGTGAAACTCTTTTTTTTTAATTTTTCATTTATTTTGAGACAGGATCCCCATAAACCATTAAATTGCCCAGGCGGAGCTCAAACTTCCAATCCCCCTGCCTCAACCTCCCAGAGTTCTGGAATTATAGACATAATCCAACATGTCTAGTTGAGGGAGATTCCTGTTGTAAGGCTCGATTGGGACCCCACCCTCCCAGTACCCAACCTGTCTGCCGGGAGAAGCATTGTGCTCAGCTCAGCACCAGCGCACAGGGAAAACACAGGACTGTAGAAGAGATAAGGTGGAGCACAGACTCTTCCAGAACATTTAGACACAGATATTCACAGCAGAGGCCTCAAGGACTTTGCCCACTGAGACATGAAACATCCGGGGAACTTTGGCCATTGAGCTTTCCTAAGACCTTCCCACCTAACATTCCTGGTCTTCCTTCAAGCCCTGTAAGAAGAGCCTGATTCTCTTTGCTCCCTACAGAGGAAGGTTTTGCCTGCTGTCTGCTGGGACCCCGGCACAATGAATTCCACACCATGCTGCCTTTAGAGCAGCCCAGTGGTCTCAGCTGGTCTTGGCCTCGAGCCATTCCTTACACTTGTGATGGAGTTAAAGCGAGGGAAGTTTCAGTTTAACCTCTATTCATAGCAAGATGCAAGGAAAGGTCTCTTTTATGGGGTGTGTCTAGATATCCTACCAAAGGTTCATGAAGTCAGAAGGCTTTTTCAGAGGCAGCTGAATCTAAAGTGTGTGGTGCTGGGATTAAGCCTATGATTACTAAATCGGTGCGCTGACTGGCTTGGCACTGCCCTAATCACAGCACTCTGGATAAGATAAAAGTGGTGGAAAGACATGGTTAAGGCCTCCAGTTACTTCTGCTGCCTCCTACCACCACGAATGTTTGCCCCTCCGCCATGTGCCACCCCGCCTTGGAGCCCACCGGTAATGGACTGAAACCTCTACCAACTGTGAGTTAAAGAACCCTGTCCTCTCCTAACTTTGTGTGTGGAATACTTTGTCTCAACAATGAGAAAAGCAACTAGGAGAATTTCTCTAGTTAGAGCTCAGAAGGAGAAAACTGATACAAAAAAATCTTATAACCAGTTTTTAGTAGATATAAACCTGGGGCCATCAGCTTGAAAGACAGAATCTTCATACCGCTTAATCCTCCATTTAGAGACCCCCATGCACCTACAGGAAATGTATCTTTCACACTCTAATCCCTGTTTCATAGACAAGGATGCAAGGTTTCCCACAGTTAGTGAGCAAGTAAGGCCTGGAGACCAAGGCAACCAACAGCTGAGGGTGTCTATTACTTCCCACCACTCCAGTGTCATCCAAACTTCCCAAGTTCCTGCCACTGGCACACTGACTTCCAAAGGCCACACCAGATGTGCTGTTCCTTAGCATTACTTTTCATTAAATGAACTATTATTTTCAAATACAGTATTTTTAAAGGAGTATAAATTTCTACCCTCATTGAGGCCTAGTAAACCCTTCTTATAGAAGAAGATACACATTTAAAACAATGCAATCGCCACACCAAGGATCAAGCACTAGCAGGACCATATCTTCTCAACCATCCTAGTGGTGATTCCAAGGGACTCCACACTACATCTTTCTGATCTGTGTCACATCTTCCTGCACTGTCATCTCCTGCCACTCTCTTCCCTAATCCTCATCATAGAAATCTCCTTCTGAGTAGGTCTTGGGTCCTGCACATACTCAGTGTGCTCTACCAAGAAAGCCCTTCCTTGCAAAATCTGTCCCAAGCCATCATGAGTCCCTCCAGAGTGAATGCCTGTGCCACTCCTTCTCCAGTTCTCTTCCTCTTTCCCCAACACGGCCACCCTCTGTCTTTAAACCACAGCACTTCACAGCAGGTCTCAGTACTGTAACTCAATAAGTGCTTATGAGATGATACAAGATGTGAAATGTACTTCAGAAAGTACTGTCTTCAAGAAGCACAGTAAACACTACTAACTACTGTGATGGCACTTATACATGCATCATGGTCATTCTCCTGGAGACCCTGAGAACACTCACAGGCTTGAACCATCCTGTTTTGAAGTGCTTCCAAGAACAAGACTAGAGTAGACATTCAACAACAAAGGCCCATGAAGCACTTCCTGGGTATAATGGAGAGTGTAAATATAGTTGGGTGAGCCGTCTCATTTAAGGACAACCTTTGCGGTAGTCTTCCTTGTAAATGGGATTTTACCTGGGCAGGTGTCATGCCCTCTTCATATATTTGTATGTAATAAAATAGAAAGAAATACTTAAGGAAAAATGAACTGAAGAAATATCTCAGCAACCCAAAGCCTGCCTGGCAAGCACAAGGTCTTGAGTTCAATTCTCAGTGGAAAAAAAAAAAAAAAGGAAGAAAAAGAAAATTGATCATGTTGCTGATATTCCTCTGATTTTCTTTATTTCTCTTTTGTTCTGGAGGATCAGAAGTGTGTGCTTAATCTCTTTGTATTTCACCTGAATAATTTATAAAAAGATGTTAATGTAGTCTACTCACATCTTTAAATGTGAAGAATTTCTTCATTAGTAACTATTGAAAAATATTCTTTTTCTGTATTTAGTACAGGGTCTACAAGGTCTCACTACGTAGATCAGACTCGTAGTGATTCTCCTGTTCTCAACCCCCCAAGTGCTAGGATTATAGGCGCATGCCACCACACCCACTCTCAATCAATGTCTCAGCACACACCAGTGCCAGGAACAGCACGCCGGGAATTGAACCCCAACCACTGCACTCTGCCTAAGTAGGCACTTTAATCCACTGAGTTATAAGGCTGGCCCCCTGAAAAACAATTTTTTTAAATGCTAACATTGCTTTCCCTTCAGTGGGAACACAATCATTTATTTTATCTGATACTTTCAGGATTTCTTTATCCTGAAGTGAAAATAACTTCGTATATATTCACCTATCCATAACTAGAAGAGTCCTTTAATCAAAAAAAGTGTTGCTTACTATGAACATAAATCTTTTCATTTACACAAATGCACAAAAAAAAAACCCTTGGAAATTATCTTAAATAAAGTAATGGCTTGTTTCCTATCTGAAAAGCAGTTTCTATTACTATGTTAATTAGAATTTACTATCTATATAAAGACAAAGTAACAGTGAAATAGCCATAGAGTCTTGGGACTGCTATTTGTCTAAGAGCACACCAATAATCTATAGTATGGAACAAAAAATTCGTGTGACCTCAAATAAAAGAAGAGAAAAATGGAGCTGGGGAAAATGAACTGCAAGCACAGAAAGCGCTTCCTGACCACAGCAAGAAAAGTGCACACTAGAGTCAGGAAGCACCTTCTAGTCACAGGACCCTGCCCAGGAAAGCCCTCCTGTGGCATCCACTTCATTCCAACCTCCCATCAAGTTGGCTTAGGAGGATCCACCAGATGAGTGATAGCACCACCACATGGTGACACAGGGTGACAAGAAGCAGCTCTCTGGCTGGCCCAGCCCTTCCCTGTATTATTAACAAGGTCATCAAGTCAGGTTCTACATTCACATATCTATAACTCACAGAAGATCCTCCTGGAAAAGAAAAGCACATATACTAGACCTAAGAGGCACATGCTAACATTTACCAAAAACTTAAACCTGCAGGAAATGTGTTTTAGAAATCAAATGTTTAAAATGAGTAAAGCTGACACCTCCACGATTGTCATAAAGTCTCAGCATCTCAAGTATCAACCATGCCTCAGAATCTGAGAATTCAGTGTAAGTAACAATGCCAGGACTGTACTAGTCCACATCCAGAATAGTTAAATTGAAACTGAGACAGGGTACCTCTAAATAATACTGCAAATAAGCTCTTAGCAGAGAGAATTAATAGCAAAACGGCTTGTTCCCAGACGTGGAAAATGTCGAGATGTTCAAATGTTAGGGAATCGCTTCTGAGTTTGACAGATCTGCCTAATCTTCGAAAGGGCAACTTTCCATTTGAATACTAAGCAGGCATTTATGGCTCACCCTCAGCGATATGGAACTGTGCATTTATTGTTTGCTAGAAGAGGCTGTAGGGCTCTGGGAGAAGAAATGATATACTGTGCCGCTTCGTGTCATTTTCCTTGAGTGGGAACCACAATGTGATTACAGATGAACATTTGTGTTTCTCAGGAAACCCTGGACTAATCAAGCTGGTCAAGTTATTTCACTGTAGGCTACAGAGCTGCACACTATAGAACATTTATATCTGAGAACACTGACACGTATGTTTCAAATATTTTCACTCAGAAGGAATGAAAACAAACAGAATTCTTATAATTTCATTCTCAAGTGTCTTAGTGTGACAACAGCTTGCCCCATCTGCACTTTCTCATAAATGCAGGCACACACGCACTTTCCCAGGATGCCACTTAGCAGTCAGAGCTGCCCCTGAGATGAGCAGCACTCAGGCAGTTCTACTTGCATCACCTGAAGGAAAATTCTGGAAAGTACTGTCTCCAGGGATGATGGGGACAAGATAGATTCGAAAATGAGACTTAAGGAAAGAATCATTTTGGTCTCCTCCACAAGAAACAATCTAAACACATATGGAAGAACAGCTATTGCTAAGAAGAACAGTGTCAAGCCTTCAACCGAAGGAATCTTTATTTATAACATTAACCCCATTTCTACCCTTCCTTTGGTTCAAAAGTAACTAGAGGATAAGTTATTTGACAATTTCTAGTAAAAATAAGTATTTTTCATCAGTGAAAGTAGATAATAAATAGAGATGGAAAATAGAAGTACAAATAAGAATATGGCTAATAAAGAATATGTCTCAGAAATGTAACTGACATAGGGTAACAATGAATTGGCATTATATTTTTTTATCTATAACTTTCCTTTAAGCTATCAAATAAATGTTCTGGGGGCTTTAATCATTCTGTCAGGGTAAAGTTTTCTCCAAGCTGTGGAGAAGCACTAAATGTATCCTTTTCTTGCAAAACTTAATACAGTTAAAATTCTGTTCAAAAAGATGAATGCAACCCTCGGTTTCATTCAAGTGACCTATGTCTTCCTTACTCTGATGTACCAAAATGAAATGTTGCTTCAGGTTCATAAGGAACAAGACTATAGTTTTCATTCTGAAAGTCAGACCTTTGATATTTGATGAAATCATATTTCAGTAAATTGAAGAATAAAAGAAAGAGGTGGCCTGTTGAGTATCGAGTGTTAAGAACATTTCCCAAGCTTCTGTTTGCTTTGGGAAAGGATAATTAATGCAAGGGAGAACTTACTGAACTAATGTTTTGCTGATTTTTCTTCACTCGTTCAATCTCAGGAGTCTCTTTTACTGCGGTGCCAGCTCCTACTTCCTTCTTATAAAATACCTTTATTATAAGAGAAGGAAAAGAACTATAAGCTTATCCGAATTCAAGTCCTAGATCCGACAGTTATAAAAGGCCGTTTCTCAGGTTTTATAGTAACGTGAATACTGCTTTTATTTATGACTACCAACATTATGTGAATCAGTGAAACAGTTCATTATGATAATAAATGTCTAAATTTGGTTTCATAGCCCTAAAACATACAAGTAACCCTCTAATATCTGCTCTAAATGGTGATCAACACCTCAGTAGACTGTAGATTATTTGTTTTAGAATATAAATTGCCAAACTAGAGTTTCATTCTTTAAATAGAAATGTCACATGTGTGAAAGAAAAATCAAAGCACTTATTACAAAAGTTTACTAAGAAATTAGCATTTAATTTGAAAATAGTATAAAATTTTCAGCAACTGCTATTCTTTTTTTTTCTGTATTTTAGGGAAGGGGAAACTACTATTCTAAAAGCAAAGATGCCTTCTCTCCCAGGAAAACATTAGCTTTATTGTCAATATTAACATTAATTCCAAGTGTATTTTCCTCATCCTTTGCTTATCCATTCCCTCCCCCCAACCTGTCTCTCTATCTGCATCTGCATCTTCTATGCTTTCCAAACACAAAACAAATGTCAAAAGCATGCTACAGAAAAAAAGCACACTTCAGAAAAAAGCACAGAGGACAGAATTTCTCCACCTCGGGACACTTGCTGATCCAGTGGGCCCAGTGGGAGTGGAAGACAAATGTTTTCCTCAGCAGGCTAAAATCTGAGATACCACAGAATCACAGACATCAAGAGCATCTTTTTCTAATCCTTTCAGAGAAAATTTCCCATTTCTCAGTACAGCCTGTCCCTTTCAAGGAGGCCTAAGAGCTGCCTGCTCAGCACACCTGAGAGCTGGAGCTTGCCAGTTAATTAGGAAGGAAGAAAAACTCTGAAGCCCTGAACCTTAATAGAATTTACATTTTTAATTAGACATTTGCTTCATCATAAATGACTGGGCTGAATCTATATCATGATATTGACTCGTGATCAATTTTTATAATTTTAAAACAGAATTGAAGCCTATGCATCCATTATAAAAGGCCCACTATCTTCATTCCTAAGACAAATGCAATTTCTACTCCTCAAAATAAAAATATGAAAGTTTAAGACTTAGCTATGAACTTGTAAATCTGTAGACATGTTATCCACACAAATACTCAAAGAGCAGGAAGAATATCATTTCATATGGCTCCTTCTGTCTCCAAAGGAAAATGTGTGTAGAAGGTTAGGACGTCTTCCATGACTTAAACTTTAAAATTCAGTTAATATTTGTCAGTTTTGTCTGACATACAATTTGAATTTGTAATTCCAAACAATTATGACAAATTATAATTTAAGAGACTGGAACTTTTATTGTTTTGAAGAAATAAAGATAACATACTTGGCAAAAAATCCAAACAATACAGCAAAATATCTGATAATGAGAAAGGAAAAAGTATTCCTTACAAAACATAAAATTTCAAAGAGGTATAAGAAAAAAAAAAAAAAACATGCTTGCCAAGCATCCCTATTCAAAAATTCAAACTCTGAAAACATTTTGTTTTCAAAAACAAATTTAAAGTTTTGTGTGTGGCACTCAGTCACCAGACCAGGAAAATTCCACACCTAACTTAACTTCCTGGGATTGGTCTCAGTCAATACACAGGAGTACCAAAACTATTGCACAAAATTACTTTCAGTTTATGGGTATAATATGTATATGAAACACAAAAAATTTCATGTTTAGACTTGAGTTTCATCCCCAAATACTGCACAACTGAAACCATCCAACACGCACTGGTCCAAAGCATGTAAAGCATATAAAGGATACTCTGTACTGGCTACTCACCGAACTAATGTTTTGTTGAGTTGTCTTAACTCTCTGCATTTCAGGAGTATCTGCCACAGTGGAATAGTTAGAAAGCAGTTTCTCTGCTTCATCTTTATACTTTTTCTAAAAACATAAACAGCTGATATGAATGGGGAGGCGAGTATGAGACACACAGAGAAACAGAATGATGGTGCTTTTTCCAACTGGACCATGCCACACAGCTCTAAGCTGTACCTTCTAAGCCTCACTTACTCGTGCAACAGCAAAAGACAAAGGCAGCAAGCAGAGAGCCCAGTCAGGCAGCATCACAGCCTCTCTGACTGTGGGGGCCACCTCGGTCCACTGAGACACTCAGAGAGGTGATTTGTATGTCCTTCCTAACTGTAGACCTGCTCTGATGTGAGCAGTCAGGGTCCTTGTTCAAATGGCTCAGCAGTACCTGTGAAGTAATGTGACCCTGTATCTAATTTTTTATGCTTTGTGATCTATGCTTCGCTTCTTAATTTAGTTAAAGATGTCTTTGGCTAAGGGGAATGTACCAGTATTTTTGTACGTGAGATAAAAATATTTCAAATTCCTATCTGTTGTTGGAGCTCTGATATACCTGAGCAATAGCTTATATACAGTATCGGTGCATATGTAATACTTATTATGTAAGTATTGTCCTAAATACTCAGTACACATTAATTTATTTAATCAATCCCCCAAGCAGGTACTATTATCATACTCAGAAGGGGAAACTGAGGCCCCAGTTAGTAGGTGTCAGAGCTACACTAATGAAGTTAATCATGACATAATCCTGCTGCTTGTAAGCAAAGTACCTACAGTCCACATGAAGATGCATCCCAGCATGTTGGAATGGTCCTATAGGGCCCAGTCTCCTGTTCATTGTCTCTTGCTGTCATTTGAACTTGGGGACTCTGCTCCAAGCCACATTAGCTGAACAAAATCCTGGCCAAATACTGGACATAGAAAAGGTAAGTGGACCTTTGAGCCAGTGGTCAAAGGTACCTTCTCTGTGGTATTCTACTATCTCTCTTGTGCTTAAAACCTCAAAAATCCAGGTGTACTGTAAGTGTCCCACTCAAGCACTCCACACTTGGGGCAGGCAATGGGACAGCCCGAGCACCATGGCTTCTGAGAAGCCTCTGTTCTACTTTTCTTGCAGGTAGGATGTAGTGGTCTGTAACTCTACATCTGCAGTGTTATCAGATGTGTCTGCAGTGTCCCCAAAGCAAACCTGTGGCTGATTTTCTGTGAACAGGCACTTAGGAAGTGTCTGCTGAATGAAGAAAGGAGCTCGGCATTCTTGAGACAGCACATTTTCTCCACTGGCTCAAAGGTCCACTTGCCTTTTCTATGTCCAGTATTTGGCTAGGATTTGTTCATCTAATGCAGCATGGGGCAGAATCCCCAAGTTCAAATGACAGCAAGGGACAATGAACAGGAAACTGGGTCCTTTAGGACCATCCGAATGGCTGCAGCACCCAAGGAGGCTGAGGGGCAGGCAACCCTTTGACATTTTCATTCCACCATCTTGATATCCCCACTTGGACCCAGGGTGTTTAGGCTTTTTACTTAAGTTTTAACCAGAATTCTAATAAATATGACCAGATTTGTCAAAAATTATTCTGAGCAATTATTCTCAACATAAGCTCCATTAATGAAACTTAATCTCTTGCTCAATTTTCTATTACTACTTTTTTTGCATTCTACTTTACTATTTTTTCCATTAGGATTCATTATTCTCCATGTAAATTTCAC